GAAACAAGAGCGAAACTCCGTCTAAAAAAAAAAAAAAAAAAAAAAAGCAAAATTGACAAGTGGAATCTAATTAAATTTAGTAGAGATGGGGGTTTCGCCATCTTGGCCAGGCTGGTCAGGAACTCCTGAGGCCAGGTGATCCACTCACTTCAGCCTCCTAAAGTGATGGGATTACAGGCGTGAACCACTGCACCCGGCCAGACACTTCTCAAAAGAAGACATACATATAGCCAACAAGCACATGAAAAAAAGCTCAATATCACTGATCATTAGAGAAATGCCAATCAAGGCCAGGCACGGTGGCTTATGCCCGTAATCACAGCACTTTGGGAGGGCAAGGCGGGCGGATCACGAAGTCAAGAGATCAGGACCACCCTGGTCAACATTGCAAAACCCCATCTCTACTAAAAATACAAAAATTAGCTGGGTGTGGTGGTGCATGCCTGTAGTCCCAGCTACTCAGGAGGCTGAGGCAGGAAAATCACTGGAACCTGCGAGGCGGAGGTTGCAGTAAGCTGAGATCGTGCCACTTGGACTCCAGCCTGCTGATAGAGCCAGACTCGTTCTCAAAAAGGGAAATGCCAATCAAAACCACAAGGAGATACCGCCTCACACCAGTCAGAATGGCTATTACTAAAACGTCAAAAAATTACAGATGCTGGCAAGACTGTGAGAAAACAGAATACTCACACACTGTTGGTGCAAGTGTAAATTAGTTCAATCATTGAGAATCGCTTGAACCCAGGAGGCGGAGGCTGTAGTGAGCTGGATCATGCCACTGCACTCCAGCCCGGGTAACAGAGCAAGAAAAAAAAATAAAAAATTATTAATCGTTTATCTGAAATTCATATTTCACTGGGGATCCTGTATGTTATCTGCTATGCTCTCCCCAAAAAATAAAAAGAAGAAATCTCATAGGTGTCTGTTCCACCCAATTGGTGATTTGTGTTCGTCTACTATTCTGTATTACATTCTATGATTACACTTAGAATTCTTGAAACTCTCCAAAAATTTATGTCCTCAGCATCTAATGTGACTTGTAATAGGTACTCAGCCCAAGCCTGAGACTGACGGAGAGCTAGCTCGCCGGATAAAAGCCTTTGTGTCACACAGCCCTGGGTTTAAATCTTGACTACACCACTTAACCAGCTGTGTGATTTTGGACAAGTCACTTAAAATTGGTATCCTGAACAGCAAAATGGAGACAGAATTTACCCTAAGGTGTAGCTGTAAGGTCTAAGTGAGATAAAGTAAACAAAATGGTGTATATAAAAAGCAATCTGTAGATGGTACCTTTGAAGATGATACCGGGAAAGGTAATGGAGTTAGAGACGAGGGAATGGAGGGAGTAAGGGATTAATAATCTATTTTCCTAATAGACATTATTTTGCGAAGAAAGGAGGACAGAAAACTATTACAATGAGTCCGAGATGCAGAACTAAGGACAGACTCCAGCTTCTCTAAAGAAGACGGCGCTGGAGTAGAGATAGGCAGCAGGACTGGCCGGTCAATGACCGTCCCCCTGGGGGTAACAGGGGTAACCCGGGCCTGTCCGCCTCTCCAGGGCCCCGGGATGACTCAGGGAGTCCAGCGGGCTCCTTCCCTCCTGGCCCAGGGCCGCCTCTCACCCATGAGCCTCCAGCCCCCACCCCAGGCCCGCCCAACCTCGGCGATACACGCGCCCGGACCCAGCTCTCCCCCTCCAGCCCCGAGACAGCTCCTCACCACACCATAGTGCTTTCCAACACCATCTTGCCACCTTCCTCCCTCCCGACCGGTTCTCCGGGACGGCCTAACAACAACTCCTCTAATTGGCCCATCGCTCTTTACCAATCACAGACCTCAGCTTGGCCAGCTGCTTCCGCCTGCGTCCCTCGCGTTGCCTTCTGGGAGTTGTAGGCGCCGCCAAACAAAGGGGCGTTTTGAAGGTGGAGGGAACCGCAGTAACACAAAAAACAGGATCTAGCCTCTGCGTTACCTGCCATTGCTGTTTTCAGTTGGGGCTTCCCGCCGGCTGGATCTTAGGGGAGCTATGGAGGAATCTTTGAAAATTCTGTGTCTGTTCTAGCTTTGTCATTAAAAAAAAAAAAAGTGTAGGGATCGGCCAGGCGCGGTGCCTCACACCAGTGATCCCAGCACTTTGGGAGGCGAAGGCGGGCTGATCACCTGAGGTCAGGAGTTCAAGACCAGCCTGGCCAATATGCTGAAACCTCATCTCCACGAAAAATACAACAATTAGCCAAGCGTGGTGGCGCACGCCCGTAATCCCAGCTACTAAGGAGGCTGAGGCAGGAGAATCGCTTGAGCCCGGGAGGTGGAGGTTGCAGTGAGCCGAGATTACACCACTGCACTCCAGCCCGGGTGACAGAGTGAGACTCCGTCTGAAAAAAAAAAAAGAGAGAGAGAGGGAGGGAGGAGGGTAGGTGGGAAGGAGGGAGTAAGGGAGGGAGGGAAGGAAGAAAGGAAGGAAGGAAAAAAAAAATAGGTGGGTGCAGTGGCACACGCCTGCAATTCCAGCTACTCGGGAGGCTGAGGCAGGAGAGTCGCTTGAACCCGGGAGGCTAAGTCTGCACTGAGCCGAGATCGCGCCACTGCACACCAGCCTAGGTTACAGAGCAAGACTCATCTCAAAAAAAAACAAAAAGTGTCGAGATCACCAATGACGTTCTAGAGCTCAGTTCTCTGTAGCATTTTATTCATCTAACTACAAGCCCTGTACCCTTCAATTGAATTTATTTGTATATTTGTTTTTTTATTTACTTTTCTTTTCTTTTGAGACCGAGTTTGGCTCTTGTTGCCCAGGCTGGCGTGCAGTGGCGCGATCTGGGCTCACTGGAAACTCTGCCCCCTGGGTTCAGGCAATTCTCCTGCCTCAGCCTCCAGGGTAGCTGCGACTACAACACCTAGCTAAAAAACTAATAATGAGACTTCATCTCTGAATAATTTTCAGAAAAGCTGAGATTAACATGCTTAACAGTAAAATATTAACAAAAAAATTTTTTAAAAGAGTAAAATATTAAACCAGATGACGATTTTCAACTTTATTATCCTATGATTTTAATTTCCCTTTTAGTTAGTTTTACACTAATAGGCCCTACTTGTATCTGAATATAAATTACAGCACACAGCTAGAGAATCAGCACTAGTCGCTGCTCACCGCTAGAGGGAGCCTCTGATCATAAGAGAATTATCTACATCACTCACTCAGTAGTTATGAGTACGCTAGGAGTGACAAGGCCAGGGAAGCAGAACTTTTATGCCTAAAATATGTTAATATCCAATTCCTCTTAGGGAAAAAAGATTTCTCCTTATCTAGTTAAAAGGCGGGCTGGCTGGGGCTGTGGGAAAATCAAATTCAAAACTTTGAGAATCTGGGCTGAGCATGGTGGCTCACGCCTGTAATCCCAGCACTTTGGGAGGCTAAAGTGGGCAGTTAACTTGAGGCCAGGAGTTCGATACCAGCCTGGCCAACATGGTGAAACTCTGTCTCAAAACAAAAAAAAAAAAAAAAAAAAAGAAAGGAAAAGAAAAAGAAACTGAGAATCCCCTATTCCTCTTCCAATCCAAGTACTTGCTTTTCTCTTCTTTTTTTTTTGCAACACGGAGCCTCCCTCTGTTGCCCAGGCTGGAGTGCAGTGGCATGATCTCAGCTCACTACAACCTCCGCCTCCCAGGTTTAAGCGATTCTCCTGTGTTAACCTCCCGAGTAGCTGAGACTACAGGCACATGCCACCATGGCCAGCTAATTTTTTGTCTTTTTTTTTTTTTTTTTTTTAGTAGAAACGGGGTTTCCCTGTGTTGCCTAGGCTGGTCTCAAACTCCTGAGCTCAAGCAATCTGCCTACCTTGGCCTCCTAAGGTGTTAGGATTACAGGCGTGAGCCACCGCACTTGGCCCAATTTTCTCTATTTTTAATAGAGACAGCGTTTCACCATGTTGGTGAGGCTGGTCTTGAACCCCTGACCTCAGGTGATCTGCCTCCCAAAGTGCTGGGATTACAGTCTTGAGCCACTGTGCCAGGCCTATTTTATTTAATTTTACAGTACTTGCTTATAGAGAGTGTCTCCCTACGTTGCCAAAGCTGCTCTTGATCTTCTGGACTCAAGAGATCCTCTAGCCTCAGCTTCTCAAAGTGTTGGGATTACAGGCATGAGCCACTGTGTTCAGTCCTCTATTTTTTTTTTTTTTTTGAGACAGAGTCTCACTCT